TGCCACAGGCAGTGGAATGTTTTCACCTATATAGTTATGTCTGTCTGTAGATGTTCCTGTCTCAGTATAACGGTGGTACACCAGCATACCTTTTGATTAACATTATGAGAATTAGCAGAGGCTGTATGGCTCTTTGCACTTTTGCAGTATTATAATTTTATTTACCTTGGCAGAATTGGTAGCTATTGGATACTTATTAGGACCTTCTGGGCACAAACAAAATACAGAATTATATCACAACCTTACTAAACGTTGTGCAGCCAGAAGAGGAGGCATGGAAAAAATATTCTTAAAGGAAGGATTATAAGACCTGGAAGTTGTTAGCCTAAGAAAAGACTGAGTGAAGATATGACAGCACTTTCTGTACGTATTAATTAAAGGCCGACACAGAGAGAGGTGTAACTGATGTATCTGCTTGAATTGTAGCAAGGGAACTACAAGTTAGACATGAGATTAGAGAAACACTGAAAGTGGATTGTCTGAGGAGGCTGGAAAAAACCTCCAATGATGGAGATTCTGACAACTTCTGCTGAGAATGGTTTAGATGTGCTAAGTCCCGTGACAGAAAGATGGATTAGATGACTTCTTGAATCCTTACTCGCCTGTTCTTCTGTTATTCTGTGCAGAGAACTAACTTGAGAGATAGTGCTGATGTATTTAATGAATTCTCTTGCTAGCACCTTTCTAGTAGCAAAAAATGCAAACTGCGTAATATCTCTCAAACCTCTCTCTTCTAAACACAGCTTTTCTTTTCATTCGAAGTAAGGGAAAAATTATTTTTACGTAAAATCTCCTTGCCACATGACATGGCAGCTTTTCTTTCCGATGGTTCGCTGATTCCCTTCTAGAAAGCAGCTGGATAAAACCATAAGGGTAACCAAAGTAGTGTGCATAGCGGCAAAGTAGGAGCTAAGATGTGGCAGTGTTCGACTAAAAAGCAAAATATGGTGTCGTGATCTGATGCACAGATCTGATCATTGCACCTAGAGTACATGGTGACGAGCGAGGTTAAAGGCAAACAAGTTCAGCTTCTACGTAGCAGTGGTGAGATTAGAAGCCATAACACAACCAAAGACTTTGCAGAAACAAAAAGCTACCTGCCTGTTGTGTCTAATTTTAATGTCTCTTCTCCCTGATCACAATGTCACAGCAACATTCTTTTTGAATTTTGTTCTCTTTAAATCATTCATTGTCACATCCTCTGCTAGGGAAAGCAATATTCCTAAGATAAGCCTTATTTCATGACTAGATAGCAAAGCACTTTAAAAAAGATTACTAAGGACTGTAATCCCCATTTCACTTTAGAGATGTTGAAGCACAGAGCAGAAAACAAAAAACAACAGGAAAACCTCTCATGCTGTGATTGCTCAACCATTTTTTTTAGCCTAATTTATGACAATGTAGTTGCACAGCTACTTGTGATTGCTAGCAGAGGGAGGAGGTGTCGTGAGGCTGGAAACGGGCAGCCGAGGGATATGGAAATGGATTCACCTTTCCACTACAGAGACTGCAAATAAGCTTAAAATGCTGGAGGAATTGGTGGCTTGGACCACCTATCTAATCATTGATTTGAAGAAAGGAAGAAAACCTAGTCTCTTAGCTTCCAGGCCCTTCATCTTCTCTGCTGAATTCATCATATGTTCAAATTTTATTTAAAAAAATAAAAAACAAAACAAAAGCTTTAATCTTTCCTTCAAATAGAATTCTCTAATTTTCAAGCCCCCAGTCAGTTTTGATTAATACTAACCCTAACAAATTATTTAGCTATGTCACTGCTAATTACCATGTTCTTATCGCATTTCAATTTTGTCAGCCTAGCATTAGGAAATATTTTGTGGGATTTAAACACTTTCTTTTACTTGGCCACCTGTTCTGCTGCCCATCAGTTCCACCTGGCTGATTCAGTTCTCAATAGCTCAGACGCATCCTCAGTGACAGTGCCCTAACGATGACAGAGTTAATTGGACAGCAGCATGTTTAAAAAAAAAATCAAGTAGTGAATGGTTAGTTGTGTCTGCCTCTTCCTATGAATGATCATATTCTGTTTAATGATCACTGAATCCATAGTTATAAAAGTTGTAAGAGCATCTCCATATCATCACAAATAGATATATCTATGCCTGTATATATCTACACACACGTACATATTTCCTGGCTCTTGATCTTCCGAGCTGGCACATAATAACACACAAGTATCACAAGACTTGGATTAAAATGCCAAGTTCGTTGTTGCCAGTTCTGTTGAACGTAATTGAATAAATCTTTCCTTCCCCTCCCTGAAAAGCTTCTAGATTTCTACATACAGTAGTGATTAAAAAATTACAAGCAAGACTCTACTTTTAAAAACAGGTATCTTATTTCCAGTCTCGTTCAGGTTTTTCATAATTGATATACTCTATTGTTTTCTCACAGTGTTTGTTGCCTGGTCAAATTGTGTGATACAAAATAAATTATTTTAAAGAATATACTAAGCTAATATCCTATTAAGCAACCTTTATCAACAACAATATTGAGAGAGATGAAATTTACTTTCCATAAGCCCACAGTGATATGCATCAATTATATTATTTTCCTGAATTGTTTATTAATTGGGTTCTATATTAACCGTTCCATTAACTTTCTCTAGATACATTTCAGGCTCACAAGCCTATAATTACCTGGACTATCCCATTTACTGCTAAAAATGTCATTAGCTTTCTTCAAGGGCTCTGAAGCTGCCATGGTTTCCCCTCCGAAATAACTGAAAAAAGAATATATATTATATGCTCCCCAAACCGCTCTCCTAAAATAACTGGATACGAATAATACAATTGCAGATTTAAAATTATGAGCTTTAGTATCAGCCCACTAATGTCCTGCTAACTTATTCTTGACATGGAAATATTTAAGTCTCAACTATACCAAACATCTGTCTCTTCCCAGGTGCACAACATAAGTGCTCATTGATCGATTCTCTTTGTCATGAAGTATTACTAAATCTAATGTTTCCATGTAGTAATGAATCACTATCAGAATTTCTACAGCTGTGGTTTACCCGGGGGGAAAAAAAAATCTTAGTCATTTTATTCTTATCAACGTTGGCAACACCTGGCTCTTTTTGTCTGTTTGCTTGCTTGATTAAACTTCTAAATTGTTAACCTCTTGCTTATATTCAGTAGTATTCTTTTTTCCTTTTTATGTAATTCTGACTTTAAATCTGCTTGATATTTTGATTAAAGTAATATTCCTTTTGAAAAGAAAGTGGCTTCTTTTGATTGATGCTTAGTGAAATATTCTTAATCTGTTCTTAGCTAGCATTCATAGTTTTCTGTACAATTATTTTTTTCTTCCAAATGTTGTGGAATCTGATTGTTTTCCTCTTAGAGGAACTGACTTATTTTAGACCTACAGATATTATAGTGGTTTGGACTTTACTCATATTTGCAGATAACAGATGTAATTTATCGTAACTTCTTGTACAAAAGTTACCACTAATTTTTAGCTTTGTGATCTGTTTGTCTTCATCTGCTAGGATGATTTGTTACAGAATTTGCTTGTGCTGGACACAGCATTTCTTGTTAGCGAGCAATCCGTTGTCTCTAATCTTTCTGTAGGTAGCATTATGTCTTCCCTCTCATGCCCACATATGTTACTCAGAATTTAGTTATTCGTGATAATGCTGATTTTTATTTTCCCTCTTTATTACATACAGGTGCAATTGTCTTGGGGTTTTAATTTGATTCAGTAGCCTGTAGTAGACACCAATTAGTAAACTACTTTGTAGTATCTATTATAGCACTGATTTTAGAAGCATTGGTCATCATGCTGTTCTTGAGCTGTCAGTGTCTTAGAAACAAACAATATAATTTTTTTTATATAAGTTGCATTTTTAAAAATTTTTTTGTAAGTTGAGCCTTTATGACCACCTTAAGTTGTTGTTGTGTTGTTTTTAACAATCCAAGAATGTGAGTCACCCCCACCAGCCTTCAGTGTACCAGCTAGGTGGAATTTCTTCTCGTAGATGAGCAATTCCAGGCTTTCTGGTTTATAGCCCAAGCCTCCAAGGTTGCTGTACAGGCCATTAAAGTAGCTCTTTATTATCCTCTACTGCCAACGTGACTTCAGGATGTTGAAGAGCTTATACGTCCATTGTGAGTGTGTGTAGCAATGACAGCCGGATAAGGTACCAAGACGTTGCCATTGATGTTGATGGCAATGTTTGTATTGGGACAGAACCTGTGCTACACTTACCAAACATACAGCTGGTGAAGTTGAATCAATGTGTATATAAGACGCTTTCTGAATCCCCCAGCTGTAGGGCTGTTCTGCAGAAAACTAGGATAGCCTTTTTATGACTGCTGCCAGCCAAACTGCAAGGAAGCCAGATGAGGAAGCGGACAGGGCAAGCAGACGGCAGCATACGGGTATGCATCGCATCTCACTGTTGTTTCCAGGAAAACAAAAAATAAGAATAATCCCTTGAAATGCTTCGATTCTAATGAAAAAAATGTTTTTGGATATGTTTCCAACCAGCTTAAGTTGATCAACCCACTTTCTGAACGACTGCACCCTCTAATGGGGTAAAACAGAGTGACTTCTGAAGCAGACTTTATTTTTATTTTGTTTGTATTCTTCCAGTTCTTACAGGCATAATACAGCAGCCCATTCATGTTAACAATAAAACAAGCGTGTTGTTGCAGAGTCTTGATCACAGGGAAGATGTGAATATCCCAGAAGAACTTCTTATGATTCATCTGTAATAATAATACCCATTGTTAATGAAATGTATGTAAATAGTTGTGTACGTTCATGGTGAAATAAAAAAGGAATTTCAACAAAATCCTTGAAAAGAGAACTTATTTCACTTTTAAGACCCAGTCCAGAAAAGTACATTTTTTTTTTTATTATTATTGTATGAAGTAGTTTCAGCTTACCAGAGTTTTGTGGGGAAGCAAAACTTTGAACAGATGAAGGTGAGAAGAAATAGACACTTAACCACGATATTGCATCTTGTCCCACAGGTAATTCTCTAAAGGACCAATGAAAGCCAACGATGACAAGTTGTGGTCAACAGTCCTTGAATGCGCTGATGGTTCTGCTTTCATTATTCTTGTCAGCAGGTAACTTTTATGCCAAAAATTTATCTTTCAGTGATGTGTGTCACAGGGAAAAAGTAGTTCCAATTTAATCCTGGATTCCTTCAAAACTAACAAGATCAAATGGATTGTTCATTGAATAATAAATAAATAAAGCAACTATGCATTTAATAATTAGAAGCTGGAATTTGAAATGCAATTCAAAATTCAGTTTAAGAAGGCAAAAGTAATTGGACACTGTCAAGAAAAAGCAAGCTGAAAATTTACAAGACAAAGATATTGATTTGATACTCCAGTTTTTCAGCTCATCTTAAAAAAAAAAAAAAAAAAAAGTCTGCTGTATAATACAACCATTTTGCTAAATAACCATCTATTGCAAGCAGAGCAAGCAGGGTTCCAAATGTATATTTTTATACATGCACACAGGAGTATGTGAAGGACTGTACTTGGAACTTCAACTGGTATTGTAATAAGTACATGTCAGATGTGATGCAAGTTATCTTGTAGATATGTAAAAGAAAAAAAAAAAAAAAAAATCAAAATTCAGTTTAAGAAGGCAAAAGTAATTGGACACTGTCAAGAAAAAGCAAGCTGAAAATTTACAAGACAAAGATATTGATTTGATACTCCAGTTTTTCAGCTCATCTTAAAAAAAAAAAAAAAAAAAGTCTGCTGTATAATACAACCATTTTGCTAAATAACCATCTATTGCAAGCAGAGCAAGCAGGGTTCCAAATGTATATTTTTATACATGCACACAGGAGTATGTGAAGGACTGTACTTGGAACTTCAACTGGTATTGTAATAAGTACATGTCAGATGTGATGCAAGTTATCTTGTAGATATGTAAAAAAAAAAAAAAAAAAAAAAGCATGACATTATGTTGCACCAATAGTATGTTATTTTCCTCATCACTATTATTCTATGTAAATGCACAATTTTACCTGAAGAATTCACTGGACCAGGGAGAGGGGCTAGGGTTTTCCCACTGGATGTTTTCTGTTAGTGCACAGATAGGATTTGTGCAGAAATCTGTAAGCTGTTACACTGAGAATAAATGGAGCCCTATGATTATTAGTTGCTTTTTTTTTCTTCAGAAGATATTTGTGATGTCAAGGTTTTCTGTGAGGATGGAATAATTTTATTTATAAAAAATTAAAGGGATCTCAGTCCAAATAATTTGATCCTAGGAATTTTAAACTTCCAGCACAACCTCTTCTACCTTCCATTCTTGAGGTGTTTTTAATTCAAAGAGATTTTGTTTTATCCACTGTTACTCTTTATTCATTATCCCCAACCACCATACTTAAAACTTTACCAAGCATTACATATCTTAAAATGTCTTTGTGCTCCAGTAACAGTTGTTACTCTGCTGTGTCTGCGTCATCCTTATAACACTCGGTGTTATATCCTCATCCGTTTGTTGCCCACAGTCTTGTTACTTATTTGCAAGCATTCTAGTTGATTTTACTGATGACAGTTCATTCTCTAGCTATAACTGACAGTCCTTCTGTTAACAGTATTATAATAATACCAACTTTACCACTGCTCTGCCTAATCCTCAAATGTTCTCTTCCTTTACAGTCTGTCCACTGATATCCCTACGTATGGCACTGCATCTCTAGTTATGTAACTACCCTCCTCCTATGTACTAGAATCAGGCATAGGGTTTATAGCAGCCTCTTCGTCATTTTTCAGGTTAAAGTCTTTTCAGAAAGCTGTTTTCCTGGTACATAAATGAAGTCAATTATTCAAGAAGAACTCAGTGCATGTAGCCCAGGGATCAAAGAGCACAAAACTTTTCCATGAACTTTTTGTTCATTTTTATTATGTTTTCAAACTTTACCATTCTGTTTAGGGGAATTCCAGTAGAGACCTCCTGAGATCCCACTTCTGCAAGCATTTTCCTCAAGCTAATATAACTATATATGTTCCAATTGAATGGGACGCTAGTATTACACTATGCATGCAAGCAGATGTGGTCAGCCACTGGTATATATACACTTATTCCCTCAAAGCCAAGCGTACAGCAAGTGATCTGAGGTGTTTTTCTCTTAGGAGAGGAAATATGCTGCCTCTGAAGTACAGCTTCTTTATTTGATACTAATTGCATAGAGTTTCTCATAGTTTGTCAATAAATGCCAGGAACTTGTCTTTGGAAATGTGTGCCTTATCTTCTTGTTGGCCCTCAGTTATTAGTATTCTGTTATCTGACATTCATTATTAGCATGTAGAGTGCAGGCTTAATCTGGAATCATCAAGAGCCCTTCATGCCAGCCGAAGTCTGCTCCTTGGGGAGTTTTGTTGCTGACATCCGTAGGCGTGGGTTTAGACCCTTGCTAACTTACACCCACATTTTACAAGACTTGGATGAAATGTATTAGATATTATCTTGGAGCCAGCATAAATGTAAAATACTTGTCCAAGATGCATCAGCTTCCATAAAGGAACACTGTTGGCTATATGCAGTGAGAATGACAGAACTAAAGGATGCCGCTCTTCTTGAAATGATACAAATGTCCTTCTTAAACTGAGCTGAAATGAAAACCTAATGGCAAGAGTCTTTCTGACTTCACTAGATTTACAGACTTCTATCTGTAAGATCATGCGTCACTTCTAAGTTCTTGACCTACTAAGATGTGCAAACTTAAATTTTAAAAAACTTTATGTATGATTGAAAACTGAACTTAATAATTGGAAGCCTAACTATTGTTAGCTCCATAAGGCACAGTGAAAGTTAGGACACAAGTAACGGACAAGTTTCCAGAGCAGCAGTTTTGAGGACCTGTTTTTCATTGCATCAGTGACAGCAGCGGTGGAGCAAAGGTGTTTGTTTGAATGCCAAGGTGGTGGCTCAAAATGAGGATAAAGTTTGGCAGCTTTAGCTGTGTGCCTAGGAAGGAGATATAATTGCCCAAAACGAGCAAAATTTTCTCATGACAAGGGGGAACAACTCTGAAAAGGAAGGTCCAAGTTCAGAGTGGGTAGGCTCCATTTAAAAAAAAAAAAAAAAAAGATGAAATCGGATTGAGACTATAGAAACTCTTCAAACTAATTTTATTTCAATGTGAAAACATCAAGAGCACAGGGCCACACAGCTTTAAGATATGTGGGCACATTAATTGTACTGAAAGCACAGGGAATGAGTAATAAAGGAAGGAGCAACATGCAGTTATGCCAGAAGAATATCTGTCTGCCTGTTTTAACTCCTAAACATATACTTTGCAATAATGTTGATATTTAAATTCCCTTAATGGGTTGAAACACATTTATAAAATCAGTGATAGCAGCAAGGCTCATATTAGCAAGCCAAAATTGGCAGATTATTTGCACATTACGGTAGTTTTCCTTTGGAGTAGAAAATGAATGTTCTTACAGCAGAATTATCAGAGGATCGCAGATGATTGCGGTTGTGCCAAGTAAAATGTATATATGTGAACATTTCTGTGGAGACGTATGGAAAGCTTATAACGACCAGCCACCTCTCAAAGCTTTCAGACTTTACAAACTTGGTAGCTAAATTCAAAATCTAATCAGCGTTACACAGATCTAACTAGCAGCAAACAGGAAAGTAACATCAGAGTTTGATGTGTACTGTCTGTTTATTTTTCAGGTAGAGCAGATAAATCTTAAGACGAGCTGAAACCAGTCATTTGAAGCATGACGGGCTTCTCTAGAAATGTGTATGAGCAGAGATAGGAGGATCTGTACTACTAACCTTCTAAGTAGTACATTTCAAAGCTAGTATGAGAATTTACAGAGGCAATTCCACTTCAAAAACAGCTGCCATCTTTGCAACAGACAACTTAAAGCCTTTCAGTCACACTACTTTTGTCTAAAGAATTTCTGTAGCAATAAGGCTCTAATGTTCAGATTGACTTCATACACATGCAAGGTTGAAGTGCTCTTATTTTCAGAAAAATACCTTGTTTAAAAAAAAAAAAAAAAGGTGCTTTGTTTACTGGATCTCTGATTCCCAGAGCAAACAGAGACAGCTAGTAAAATTATGCAGATTACAAAAAATTGATTTTTTTCACTGATTGGCAAATTCGGACCAAAATTCAAACATGTTATGTGTTTTCTTGTATGTATATTTTGATCACTGACAAACATTTTTATATTGAAGTTCTTGCTTAGCATTTCATCTTTATTACAGACCTAATTCATGCTCTGACCTGATGCTGTCTTCCATTCTCCCTCTCTTCTGTAGCCTCCCTTCCCCCAGGTTTCACCCCCAAACAAGTTTGACTGTAATTTTGGTTTTAAAACGGGCAAAGAATCTTTGTAGAGGTATAGACTAGGGACATGAGCTGGTAAGAAAACCATTTTGCAGGGACGAGTAAGGTAAACCTCTCAAGGTCCTATAGCCCTCCAGTTCGTTCCCACAGTTCACAACGTGCTCAGGAAAGAGCAATTTCTCTCTCTGAGGCTGGGCAAGAATAATGTCAGAAGCATGAAAATATTCATTAGTTTATGCAACATAAAGCACTAGTATATGTATCTAGCGCATGTTATCAGAATCAAAACAAGTCAGGTATAGCTTGGCAGAGCTGCTGTTCTTCTGGTGTACTCTAACCTAGGTGTAATTCACCTAAGCTAAGTTTGTAGTAGACGTATGAAAAATGACATTTTTTACTGTCCTATTCACAAAACTAGTACTAGCAGTAAGTATTTTTCCCTTAAAATGTCCCAAACTTGAAAACTCTGTCTATACTAGAGCTTTAAAAATTATTACTATGTAATTGGTAGTAGGAATGTTATTTTTTAAAGGAAAAGTAAGTTAATATATCTTTAGCCATAAAAGCCATTAGACCTGCATTTTGAAAAAAAAGTTGATGGTTCTACTGATAATGCATGAAAAGCAAAATCTGTGTTGCACACCAGGGCTTCGCAGGTGACAAAGAAGTCAGGGAAACTGATTCATAGAAGTAGCTAATATAACCAAGTGCAGATATTCCAAGTAAGAAGGAGCAGATCAAAATGACTAAAAAGTGACAGCTGCTAAACTGATCAATTTACACGGGTTGTGTTTTCTTTACAGATACGGCAGAAGTAGTACATACTGTAATCCACAAAAATCACTACTGCAACATCTTATTCTGATAAGAGATCTGTAGTTTCAAAGAACGGTGTCCTTCTGGATAGGGAGAACACTGGGCAAGATAGAGGAAAACAAAAACCCAGAAACTGAAAGACAGGCATGCTTCAGGACATAACCCTAAAAGAGAAAAGTAGAAAGAAATTTTCCTTACTAGAGAATTTATTAGACAACTTTTTCACTATATAGCATGCTTGTATCTTTCTTTGAAGCATCTGAAACTGGCCATTATCACGGAAGGATTAGATGGATACTCTACTGCTAGATAGTGTTAATAAAAAAATACTGTGGATAAACGTCACTACTGAAGTACAGTGTGAAGGTTGTCACCCCACTTGTATTTATTAGGTTCAATAGTATGGCTTGAAAGCCAGCTCCTTGATCTTTAAGAAACTTACAGAAGAGCAATAGACAGGTGTTACCTTGACCTGTGAATTTGTATGACTATACAAACTGAGGTCAGTTTACTCTGTATTTGTTGATATCAGACATAGACTCACCTTTTTCCTAGTGATGATGACTAGTGGGACTATACATAATGTTTAAGATAAGCATGTAGTGCAACCTTGTAAACTGGCAGCAAACATTTGCAGAACACTTGGGGCCTTTCAGTGCTTAACCATGTGCATCTAAATGCCGTTTGACTTGCCCTGGAACATCCATGTGTGGACAGGACCTGCAACAGACCTGCACCTCTTAGACTGAAAGCTTGAGGCCAGGCAGAACAGGTTGGGGAAACCCAGCTGGCACTGAAGTCCTGTATTTAAGCAACTCAATCAAGCTCCCGTTCTCGTCAGGTTTTGCATCCCTTATTTCTTTAGGTCAGCTTCTCAAAAAACAATAGATACATAGATAAAACTAACATTTTCAGAACTTGGGACCTTAATCCTGGAACACTTAGTAGTATTGCTATGTTAATGAGGAGTGATGCAGGGAATTAACTTGTTCAAATGAACGCATATTTGTGTAATTATCTGCTTTGTGGATTTTGTGCCACAGTTTCAACATGCGCATTTGTTGCAAGAGTTACAGAGGATCCCAATTCTGAAAACCTAAGTCTAAAGAAAGAAAATTTCATTACTGGTTATAGAATCCTGATATTTGAACATGGATTTTTTCCCAGGCAGAGCAAGAACAGTTATGTAATTAATTTTCAAAAAACTATGTTCCTTTGGAAATAGCATTTTTATAGCACTTCACTTCCTGACTCAATTCGTCTACAAAGGGATTTTTTCTTCTGTTAAAGCAGTGATGACAAGTATATGTATGCACGCGTGTCTGTCTGTCTGTATGAAAAAACACCGATATGAGTAACAGTTGCATTATCATATCACTCCTTAGCCAAGACTACTTTCTCCTCTGGTATACTGTGCTTTCCTGATACTAGATGCTGGTTCATCTCTAATTTTAGGAACAGAGCTGAGGTATGAGAAAGGAGCATAGCTGCCATAGGATCTAAAATGCACAGAAATAGAGGCAAGTGGTAACAGGAACTTCTAGAGGGTGATACAGATTGTGTGCAGTGATTGGCACACAATCCGTTTCGAGTATGCATTTGGAGGATATGTATGGAGAGCTTCCCTCTCCCACCCCCCCCCCCGATAGTGCAACAATGTGACATACTCCCGGAAAAAAATTTTTTGAAAGATGCAGTAACATGAGAATTTAATAAAGAAGAAAAACAGGAATACTCAAGAATAGCTGTGTTTCTGTTAGTTCTAGATACTTGCAAATTCAAAGTTGTTCAGATTTTGTACTGTTTTGTACTTTTTATTTCTAGCAGAGTGATCCTTATCAAAGAATGGCCTTTACAATGGAGTAGATTTTTTTGACACAATAGCAGTGACTATAAATCATGCACTGTCAAACTTTTATTGCAGTTTTATTATAGGCTTTTAGCTGTAATGAAGTAAGCCCAGGAAGATCAAGTATGAGCATTGTTTGGTCTTTGTGGGTATCCCTGTATTTAAAACAGCGGTGTGAAACTGTTTCTCTAAATACTTCCTCGTTTCTTGGTGTGGAGGGCATTTCTTCTCTTCCTTTTTCAAAAAAAATAATAATAATCAGAAACACAGTAAAAGTCAAAATATTGCAAAATGCTATTTTTTAAGCTTTTAGTGTTAAATGTTATGATATTGAAATCCTGAAATATCTTAATTGATGTCTTTCAGAAATCAAAGAGCAATTGTTTAAGCTTAACCAAAGAAAAATTACAGTTCACAACATACAGGTAACACAAGTGACTCACAAAGCCAATATCGTTCTTTGTTTTACAGCATTGTCTGCACATTTTCGGGTCTGCGAGCCATATACGGACTACAAAGGTCGCTACCACTTTGGTTTTCACTGCCCACGTCTTTCTGACAATAAATCTTACATCTTTTGCTGTCACCATAACAACACAGTATTTAAATATTGCTGCAATGAGACAGAATTTCAGACTGTTATGCAGATGAACCTAACAGGGAATGCAGATGGATATATGCATAAGTAAGTAAATGAGTTTTAAAGTACTCTTCACTGAACTGTTCCTGATCTAGTAACATAGTCTGAGGTGTTCTTAATGATGGAAGCAAATAGAATAATTGTACATACACAGAAACATTGCTAAAAGGCTTTTGCTGCTACAGAACTTTTATAAACCATAGGATATTTTACCTTTGCTTTTATTGCTTTGACATCCCCTATAGACGTTGCTAGGAGTGCACGAATGTAAAAGTTGTAAGTAAATGAAATGTCTCTCCCCCGCACCAAATTAATCCAAGCTACATTTAAATGCGTATCAGTCAAAATAAATCCCAAAACTGTCAGCAGGGGGGAGAGGGAGGATATGGACATTTTCCATACCAACCTAAATGTTTTGCATGGCTACTGCTGTTTTGAATCTCTGCATGTTTTGCATATAAATCTCTTGTAATCGCTGACCTTGGGGAATAGGTCGTACTTGCTTATATACTCGTGTTTTATGGTCTCCTTGCCTGCTACCTGAGATACTTTGCCACATATGTGTATCTTCCTTGCAATTCTGGGGCCTGTCCTCAAAGATAAATATTAGTAACTTTTTTTCCAAAGAACTAATAAGTAGCAAGTAGATCTTTATTACTGTTTACATATTTATGATGACAAAATTTTCACTTGTGGTCTGTCTCCTTTTTAGCGTTTGATGTTCTGGCCACGCTAATGCACTGTGATCCCTCTGGTGGAGAGGGCAACTTTCACCTGGTGTAAACCCCCAGGGTTGATTTCTGATGTCTCTGTTTTCCCCTGCCATTTTATTCTGGTATCCAGGCACTCCAGGGCAAGGAAGGGGCAGATTAAAGAAGACTGGAATTCCAGTCTATTGATTTCTGGCTGCTACAGGGATTTGAGTGCTTTCTTCTGCAGTGCAAAAGTCAGTTGGAGTTTTGTCATTCATTTCTATGGAAGCAGGTGTGAGGCAGCTAGAAGACTGGAATACTAATGTCAGCTATTTTAAGTCACAGTGTGGAGCTGCATCCAGCAGCAGCCGGCTCACAGTCAGCTGTTGTCTTCCTTAACAATCTTCTCTCTTACAGTTCTGCCTAGCAAAGCTTGAGTCTTGTGTAGATACAAAAGTTGCATGCTATAACTTCTACAGTTGTAGAAGTGACAGTCACCCAGTTATGTTGGTATGAAGAAGCTTTTATGCTCTATGGTGTAAAAGAAAGATAAAAATAGACTCTACTCGTATATGTTACCTTTAAATTCAAGTTGTTTCTACATTGTCTTGTTACAGCATACTTGGCTATGCCCTTCAGGTCAAATTTCCTGCCTTGGCCTTGTGCTGCCTTTGGGACCATCATGGGAGCTTATCATTTGGAGCATTGGGAAGACGTTTCAGGTCCAACAGGCCCATTAAAGGCCATCTATTTTTTTCCACCCTTTGTGCACTTAGGACATTCCAGAAATTAGTAGCATCCTCCTCTGGGGCTACCTGGCTTTGCCAAAGCATATCCCTCGAGGTAACCTGGTAGAGTCTATATGACAGCGCCCCAGTGCAAGACGTACTCTATATACATTCTGTGGTAAAAGTAGGACGTGCTTTCCCTTTGTTCACTGGGATGACCATGCTGCCACAATGGCTGAAGGGAGGTCCACACAGAACTCTCATTACAGCAGGGTTATGTACATAGTCACAAACGGAGGCAGAAACTGCTTCACACTCGGAAAAAAGAATGGAGTAGTGTGGCAGTAGCCCCCACACTTTTCCCATTCTTTGGTTTGTACATAAGAAGTTTGCTTTGTTTCTTTCCTTCTTGGTCCCTGTAAACTGTGCACCAATGCTGCTAAGCAACCAAATCTGCCTAACTAGCCAAGCTATATAAACATAGCTTTATCACAGAGTTTGGGATGTTCCTAGCCAGTCAGAGTACTGCCAAGTAGAAAGCCAGTGCCTCAGGCTTTTCTAATATCTTAGCAGCTGCTCAGTGTGGCCATGGCCAGAGATTACTAAGGTAGGCCTCACTGCCCTGCCTTTCACCAACGCCCTGAAATGGCCAGGGCAATCAGCCATTTCCCAAAGTTGACATTGTTAGATGAGCGGATCGTGAGGTGGATTGAGAACTGGCTGAATGGCAGAGCTCAGAGGGTTGTGGTCAGTGGTGCAGAGTCTAGTTGGAGGCCTGTAACTAGCAGCGTCCCCCAGGGGTCAGTACTGAGTCCAGTCTTGTTCAATGTATTCATCGATGACCTGGAGGAAGGGACAGAGTGCCTCCTCAGCAAGTTTGCTGATGGTACTAAACTGGGGGGAGTGACTGACACAGTAGAGGGCTGTGCTGCCGTTCAGAGGGAGCTGGACAGGCTGGAGAGGTGGGCGGAGAGGAACCTCATGAAGTTCAACAAAGGCGAGTGCAGGGTCCTGCACCTAGGGAGGAATAACCCCAGGCACCAGTACAGGCTGGGGGCTGACCTGCTGCAAAGCAGCTCTGCAGAGAAGGACCTGGGAGTGCTGGTGGACAGCAAGTTAAGCATGAGCCAGCAATGTGCCCTTGTGGCCAAGAAGGCCAAGGGTATCCTGGGGTGCGTTAGGCAGAGTGTTGCCAGCAGGTCGAGGGAGGTGATCCTGCCCCTCTCCTCAGCCCCTGGGGAGGCCTCACCTGGAGCACTGTGTCCAGTTCTGGGCTCCTCAGTACAAGAGAGACATGGCCCTACTGGAGAGAGTCCAGCGGAGGGCTACCAAGATGATGAGGGGCCTGGAGCATCTCTCCTCTGAAGAAAGGCTGAGGGAGCTGGGCCTGTTTAGCCTGCAGAAGAGAAGGCTGAGAGGCGATCTCATCAACGTGTACAAGTATCTGAAGGGAGGGTGTCGAGAGGATGGGGCCAGTCTCTTCTCTGTGGTGCCCAGGGACAGGACAAGAGGCAACGGGCATAAAATGAACCACAGGAATTTCCATCTGAACCTGAGGAAAAACTTCTTTGCTGTGAGGGTGACAGAGCACTGGAACAGGTTGCCCAGAGAGGTAGTGGAGTCTCCTTCCCTGGAGATATTCAAAACCCGTCTGGATGTGATCCTGGGAAATATGCTCTTAGATGACCCTGCTGGAGCAGGGAGGCTGGACTAGATGTTCTCCAGAGGTCCTTTCCAACCTTGGCCATTCTGTGATTCTGTAATACAAGAAAATGCTTTTGGAGGTGCAGGAGTGGAACCAGTGTTCCCTTCCTGTAACTTCCTGAAACGTCAGCTTTTGACAAATCAGTCAAGGTCAGGAAAATGAAGAGAAGCTAACTTCCAGCATAAAACTCTGTCAGTGTAGTGAGAGAGAGGGAGAGAGATCTCCTCACTCTGAGCTGAGGTAGGAGATTTCCCAGGAATTTCAGGGAATGCTTTGGGAGGGGCAGGAAGAAGCGAAGCCTAGATGCCTACATGTAGACTGTGGTAATAAGCATTTTATTTAACATGCACTGAATTTATTTAACACCTATTATTATTTAACTTTGTTTGGATTCTAATTCGTCCAGGGTTCACTTTATAGTAACGCTCTCCAGTGTCCTTTATGAAACAAAGTCAGCTATTTATTTAGATCCAATTTCACACATCACTGAAAAAAGATTTTGGTGAAATATTTTGCATTGTACTTGTGGAGAATGTTTTAGGACATGGGAATAGCAATGAACTGAAGAAAAGGATTATAGCTTTAATGGAAGAGTGATTCAGTGTTGTTGTTTGGTTTATTTTCCCCCCTAGCCATTCTTATGATCATCAAAACACAATTCTTGTTTTGTAGTACAGCTGAGGGAAAAAATAAATGAAGTGACTTGTAACTTCTTTGTCATGGCATAGCTGAAAAGCTGCATTTATCTTCTGCAGTCACATAATATATCTATAGCCAGATTTATTTACATTTTTTCCATTACCATAACTAAAGACTCTTGTGTTTTGGTAAGTGCAGAATACTGGGCTATATATCTTTGTGATCGGTTTCCAATATTTGTGAATGTGAACAGTTCATTTAATAATAAATATAGAAATACCAGTGATGTTCAACAGCCGAGAAAAGTTCTGCCATTCAAACTATATTTCCCTGAAACTTTGTCTAATAAGTTGTTTAATTATTTAAATAGTATTCACTTGAATCTACTTACACTCTTT